CAGTCTGATATAAAACCAGCGTTGACTGTCATCACAGTAATAAATAACATTCAGTTGTATTGTTAAAAAAATAAAGAGCATTCTGCACTTTGTAATGACAGAAAACACGACAGAGCTGTTGTATTGAATTGTGACAGACTGCGCAGGTGTTCCTAATAAAATGACCATCGACTGTATTGTGACTTTTCTTTGTCCTCTTGCAGGATGTGTCCTCTCTCCACCCGGCTTCCCTCTGCCAGACAAGTCAGACCTCGGCTCCTCGCGCTATACCAGCAACACCAGCATCTTCAACAACTACGCCATGGAGGTAAAACCCCGTGACAGAAAATAGAAAAGTAGAATCCAGCTGTCAGGTCCCAACACTTAACTGCTGATTTCTAAAGATGTATTGGGATCAACTGTGCTGTAGATTCTTATTTGCTGCAGAAAAATCTATTTTTGCTTTGCTTATAGCAGACTTTCTAAATAGCAGCATCTTAGTCTGCAACTAAGAGTTTTCACGGATTGATTTTGTCACCGAGTCGGTGCTGACTGTTAAATTCTTTGATGGAATTTCACTCAGAGCAGCTTTCAGAACTTTCAGCGCAGCTTATCGAGCTAATCATAAAACTGTGCCTCAGCAGAATATTTCTTTACGTCGGAAGGTTTCCCTGCAGCCGCTCAGACTCACAGAATAATGAACCTGAGAACTTTGTACACGAAAAGTCTGAAAAGCAGCAGAGTGCTTCTCTTGTGTTGATGCAGTAATCAGCCAGAAATATTCATCCAGGTTCTGAAAACATCTTCCAAAAGTGGTGCAACATGTTTTAAAGCAGGAAAAATAACAAAAACATCCAAAGACAGAAACACAAGCTGTCAACAAAGCGTTGTATGGACATCAAGTGAGGGGATATGAGATATCTTGTTGTATATGTAATACTTTATTCCCTAAAGGTCTCATTTAAAGTTTGACCCGACCTTATTTTTGGTGTCTTTCATTGTTTATATTTATTTACTGAATAAAATTGATGATATAATAATGACTTGTACTTTCTATTATTTGTCTGTTTCTGTGTCTATTTTTTTCCCTTTTCATTCCTTTTTCTTTTTGTTTTTTTTGTGTTTTGTTTAGTTCATTTATATTATTATTAATTTTGTTTATTCACTTTTTATATACTTACTTTATATATACATTTTAATCTTTTCCTTTGAATTTGTTTCTTTGCTTGTTTAGTTTATTTATGGTAGTAATTTTGTTTAAACGTCACATTATTTTAATTATATATATTTTTATTTTTTACTTATTGATGTGCTTAATTTATTTTTTTAATCATTGTTTTCTCTGTATTTTTTTATTTTTGTTAATTGTTAATTGTAATAATATTAATTTTGTTTAAACTTTATATTATTTTAAATATTTTTATATTTAGATTTTTTTAAACTATTTTATTTCTATTTCTACTTTCTATTTTTTAACATATGTACTTTTTTCTCTTGCATTTTTCCCTTTTGTTTTCTTTTGTTTATTTTATTTTTGTTTACATTATTAATTTCTTTGATTAGACAGCTGTTTACAGACAATAGGAGAAGTTCCATTTATGCCTTAAAGCTGCTGAAGATGTGCTTTTCTCTCACAAAGAGGTTTGCAAGCAGTAGTAACTAAGATCCCCATTAAGATCGTCAGTGTTGCAGAATATAACAGATGGGTATTAGCTGAGTAGGAGTTAATAATATGTTGTTCTGTACGTTCACCTTGCTTGCAGACTGTTTTATATGTATGTGTGTGTCGTGTCTGTCCAGCTGCTGATTTCCAGCTGTTCTCGCTGTAAGACGTGCGACTGTCTGGTTTACGACGAGGAGATCATGGCCGGCTGGACGGCCGACGACTCCAACCTGAATACCACCTGCCCCTTCTGTGGAAACCCCTTCCTGCCCTTCCTCAACGTGGAGATCAGGGACATGCGAGGACCCGGCAGGTAGACGATGAACTGAATGTGTACAGGAATTTGCCTGTTTTTCTGAGCTTATTCTCGGCACTTGTATGGTTTAATTGTTTTTTATTTAATATGGCATTTTTTGAAGTTACGTTAGCCTGGGATGGGACTTCCTGTTTAGACACCAACCAGCGACTGATTCACACATTTTGGCAAATGGCAATGATGTTTTTTTTATTAGTCATTAAGTATTTAACACAATTTAATACATGTAAAGTGAATGTACTGTAAAAATATGGTCATAAACCTGAAAGAGGTAACACAGACAGCATAAATATGAGAATATTTCATTGAAGAAAATGCAGAATATGAGGCGGTAGAGTAAACCCAAGTGTAGATTGCATATTGCTAAAAGTCTTTGTTGGCATTCCTTAAGTTTAGATGGTGCAATCTGCTTTAGTAAATCTTTAGTCGAAGAGTAGAACTCAGAAACAGCTTAACATTGAAATTTAAGAGCGGATTTATAACTTCCTGATCCAACCCACATAAGCAAATAACACCACAAATATATTTACTTTTTAATTCAGATGTTGCTAAAGTTGTTTTTTTCTATTTTGGCCTGGATACTTAAAACCGTTTAAAAAAAACACAGACAAACACACAAGTGCAGAAATGTTTGAGGTGAAACTTCATCATTGTGGCTACATGTGCCTCAAAATGAGAAGCTGGCTGAGAAAACAGGTTCTTAAGGTTTGTAAAAATAAAATAAAACAAAACATTTTTCCTTCCAAGGACACAAATATAAAGAAACATTCAGTCATCAGCTCAGTGAATCACCTCTAGGATTTTGTAACGGCTGCATGTTGATGTTACATTTATCACATCTGCAGGAACAGAAGGAAGTTTTTCAGGGATTTTAATATCATATTATAAACATATGTATAAAAATAGACTAATTTCTTTTGCTAACAGAACATAATACCTGACTTAACTTTCCATAAATATAATCCCTCCTCTGTGTGTCCTGGTTCCTTCCTCTCCAGACTTTTCCTGAAGGGCAGCCCATCGGTGGACGAGGCCATGACGTCCTCGTACTCGGCCTCCACAGGTCTGGACACCGGGACGTCCACCTTGTCCACACCTTGTCCCACCACAGCTGTCTCGTCTCCGTCGCCGGTGATCGCTGTGCAGGAGTGTTCAGGAAGGTACTGACTGCCTGTTTCATTTATTTACACTCTCAAAGGGATTCTTTTGTTTGTAATCCTGTTTTTCTGTTTTAAAATGAAGACTGGAGCCTTGATAGTGACGCCACAGTTAACAGTTTAAAAAGCTGTTAGACAACATTGTAGATTGATTTGAAACTAAAAAAGATGATAAATTATAAGCAGTACTTAAGCACTTGTTACACAATGAGATGATTCGCTCCTCTCATTTAGCATTTAGCTGCTTTAGTGGCAAATATTTACAGCAGCAGTTTGAGCTTATATCCATCTGGCAAATACAACTTCTACAAAGCAAACTGTTGGTTACCGTTGAGTTGCATTCTGGGTAATGAAGGCACCAAGTTTTAACCAGAAAGAAGAAACGTGGAGTAGAATGAACAGGATGTCTGGTTTTGAGCAAACGGCTCAATAATTAATTGGAATATGAACAAATCAGTGTAAAACGCAGAATTCGGGAGCTTCAATGTTTTGATAAAAGTAAAATATGTCACAGCACACAATTATAAATAAAGTTTTGTCGTGCTGCCGAGACACATACAAACTTATTCTCCAGATGTGAGGAAGCGTGTTTGGTGCAGACTAAACTCACATCATTATTTCTTTTAGTGGGAAAGAAATGCAAAAATTACCGTTTTGACTGAAATTGCGACTTTTATGTAAAACTAAGGCATTATTGGAGTTTTTTGCATATCATTCAGCCCTAATGATTAATCAGTGATTCTGTTGTTTAACATAATGTCTCCAATGTCTGCTTTGTTTAGAACTAAAAGATTCATTAATCCCACATGCAGCATCAATGCAGGACTGATGTTTATGCTGCTTTAGGACTATTTGAGTAAAAACATGAGACTGACTTTACCTTTTATTTCAGGCAATAATGCATAAATGTCTTATTTTCTAATGTAGATATCCAAAAGTGTGTAAACAGTACAGTTACATTCCAGCCTACTTTCTAACTGTGAGTCGTGTTTTGGCCTTAAATGGCTCCTAAAACAGAGAAAAATGTGACTCTCTCGTTAAAATACTGTGTGATTTTGTGGTGCCTGATTTATGCAGCTCTGTCAGGTTGTATTTTGTGTGAATGTTGGAGACAAACAAGCTAAAAGCAAACTGCATTTTATTTATTTACACTCAGGCTCAGTTTTGTGCCTCTGCTTCCTGATTTAGCGATCACGCCTTCAGGCCAAATGTCAAATCTGATTTCAACTTCTTTTTTGTTCTGATTATTTTACAGTTTACCAACTCAACTGTCTTCATCTTTCATATGTTCTCATGTAAATTAGGAACAAAAAAAACAACCTCCACGTGTCATTTTGATGTCACTGATAAGTTTTCAGTATCTTAATAGACAAACAGGAAGCAGGGAGGATTAAACGCAACCAGACAACAGCTGACATCAGTTTTAGCAGGAAAACAAAAAAGAAACTTCTTTGCGTCTCGTGGTGTATTCTCAGATGGTCCGGAGGATTTATTTATTTGTATCGCGGCTCATCTTCATGCAGCTTCCAGTTTGTCTGATTACAAAACGCTTTTGAAGTTGGAACCAACTGTGGCTGCATCTGCATTGTAAAAGAGCAGCGGGACGATCTGCAGCACCTGGTGTTGACAAAGCTCGCTGTCCGTGACAGAAAGGAGGTTATCAAATGTGTGAGCAACACGGACCAACAGCTTGTTGGGATTTACTGTATTTTGTTTTCGCTAAAGAGTAGAATCGCTTATTTGGCCCAATATGAGAACATATAATCCCAATAAGAGCTTCACTAAAACCAGCTGGACTTGAAGATGTTTAACAAAAGTAGATGAACAACAGAAAACATTCTCTTCATGTGAGTCAGATAAATGTCAAGGACGGATAAAGTTGTGATGAGTTCTGGAGTAAATCCTGCAAAAGTAATGTGATAGATTACTTGATTTGATGCAAGGGGTTAGCTTTGTATGTTATTTATTTACAACACCAGATAAAAGTCAGACACACCAACTGATCCAAGAGTTTTTCTACTGCATGATTTAAAACTGAAGACTTTAAAACATTTTGGATTCATGTAGTGAGAAAAGTGTAAAAGCAAAAATATGCAAACGTGTAAAATGTGTTTAAATTCCCAACTAAATAAAAAATAAATAAAACACTTACAGTAGCTTCTTATGGACAGACGATGCTTGTGAACATGTCTACATGCAGAGTGCTATTTTGTAGTTGTAGTATGTAGTTTATACAGAATATAGTTTGTAGGTACAGTGGATAATACTAGAACAGTTTCTAAATATCCATAGTTTCTGATCCAAACAAAATAAACCTGCTGTGATTTAAACATCTGCTCTATCTGCTGTGTGTTCATTTTAAAAGCTGACCCTGTTCTTCGCGTTTCCTCAGAGGTCGATCGACCAGAGCTCAAGGCATCACCATCCCCTCAGAGCGCCGGCAGGGGGCGCTGTCCTCCGGAGCTCCCATGGCCCGAAGCGTCAGCGCCTTTGGTCCTCTGGAGGAATCGTCCAGACTCAACCTGTGCGTGCCGACGTCAGGCAGCCTGCCGAGCCGCCTGAACGAAGCCACGGTAGGTTTCAACACAAAACGCTGACAAACATTTGGTACAGTTTAGTAGGTTTTACTTTGAGTTTCTTTCTAGTCAAGGTGAGAAACACTGGAGGAAGATTGTTGATATTCAGCTAGTTAGTGTGCATCAGTCCAGTTTCTTTCACAGCTACAGAGCCAGGGCCGAGAACACAGACTGGATTTTTTAATGCAATAAATTTGACAAAAAGTGTAATGATTAGAATCACATATTATAACTTAAAAAACTAAAAAAAAAAATAAAATGCAAGTCGGCCAGTTGATCCTTAAAAATGTTCAGACAGACAAGAGACTTCTGTACAGTTTCATCTGCAAAAATGCCTGAAATCACCAGAAAAACATGCAAACGTGACGTAGTTTGGAACCTCTCAGCTCATTTTTTAATTCTCAAGGTGTGTTTTAAGCCAAAATGCACCACTTATATACATCTACAGTTCATTTAGAGCAGAGAAATGTGTGCATCAGTGCTGAGAGATGGAAAAGTGTATGTAGAGAAAATATATCATCCAGTTCTTTCAACACGGACGTAACGGCAGCGTGTTCAGTCAGCATATCAAACCCACCACATATTGGATAAACGGTGGAAATCTGTTAGACCAGGACGGGGTCCAGGCAGATTCTGCCAAATCAAATGAACCACGAGCTCCGAGAATCATATCGTTTCCCAGATTACCGGCAAAAACCATTTGGCAGCACCTCCTGCGGAATAAAAGGCCTATTTGGCACCGTGAGGTTTCAGTGGAGCCTCAACCAGGAACAAGAGGCCAAAACATCAGCGTGGATTTTGAAATGAATGTAGAGTTAACAGTGAGTCAAAAGACGACATGTGGAGTTAAAGTTTTCTCTCGTAGGAACAATAGAGTTATTATCAGAGTCTGTAGTTCTCCTTCAGCATCTTCCAGCTCATTGTTTTGGTTTTATTTTCAGCAGCAGCAACAGTTTTACTTCAGTTTTAGCATTCTCTGACTTTTGTTTTATGGGGAAAAAAAAAGCTAAAATCATCTGTCCAGCAGCAAAGCAACACATTTAGTGATTGTAGCGGAGCATTTAGCACCGACTTGGCACCAAAACTGAGATAAACAACAGATAAAAGTTCTATTTATCAGGTGTTTTTTTGACTCAAATTAATGCTAATGTCGCTCCACGAATAAAGGTTAAGAGATAATACGCAGCCAGTTGGTGTGTTTACAACTCAATCTGCTGGGAAAAAATCTGTCGATTCAGATCAAATGTTGCTATAAAGAGTCTCAGTGAACTGTGTAAGACAGAACTTTATTTGTGATTTTAGACTAACATGAAAAAAAAAACATTTTTTTTCTAAAAAAACAGTTTTATATAAACAACATGTTAATAAGCAACAAATGCTGACAAAACATGAGAGGCAATGTCCTGGAAGTGTCATGGATTGTTGTGATATTATTACACAGTATAATAATAACGCTGTAGTGCTGCTGGTGCTCTGATTCTCTGCTCGTCATCAGATTTGGATCAGAATCTGTTTTTCAGTCCATCTTGACTCCACGTTTTCCTTCTCTCTGCGTCCTCTGTCCTCCTGGGTGACGTCTCACTTCCCTCCTCTGCTCTGTCCCACCCAGGACCCTCTGAACATGGAGTGGCGGCTCCACAACCCCGAGCCGGTGACGGTTCCGTATCTGAGCCCGCTGGTTCTGTGGAAGGAGCTGGAGAGTCTGCTGGAGAACGAGGGCGACCCGGTGATCACGGAGGCCGACATGGTGGACCACCACCCCATCATCTACTGGAACCTGGTGTGGTACTTCAGACGCCTGGACCTGCCCAGCAACCTGCCGGGACTCATCCTGACCTCAGAGCACTGCAACACGGACTCACAGGTCCGACACACCAACAGAAACACACAGCGATGATTGGAATAATTAAAATCTCATTGTATCCTCTAAATAAAGGTGCGCAGCTGAAACGAAAAAGGAAACATGAAATCGGTCCAGTATTGAGCAAGAACACTGTGGGATTACATCGCTGTTGGTTCACGGTTGCTGGTTAAAGTGTTCTCGACTGATTCCGAATATTTTATTTTAATAGTTTACTCTTGAAAAATATGTCTTCACAATGTGCCGACACAGACTGAAGCTAAACCAAGATTCAAGACACTTTATTGTCATTATACAGGCGTGTACAGTCAAAAAAATGAAACATGTTGAATAATGTGATGTTTAATAGAATTATTAATGACTATTATATATACATTTTGTTGTAATGCTGATTAGTTTGGATTTATCCGTGAAGATTTTTAAATTGACTCTCAGCGTCTGTCCGTTGTTCCCCGTCAGGTTCCTCGTCACTGGATGTCCGAGGACAGTAAACACGTTCTGATCCAGATCTTGTGGGACAATCTGAAGCTGCACCAGGAGCCGATTCAGCCTCTTTACATCCTCTGGAACACATACAGTGAGTCTCAGACACGTTTTAGGTTTCATCAAACTGTAAATGTAATTTACTGGAGGATCAGCGGGAGGGAAGCTTTTTGAAGCGTCTTCTTCAGAAACTGGCAGATTAAACTCTCACAGCAGCAGAGTAGAGACGGGATGAAAACAAAAAAAACTGTGGAAAATAAGATAATAGAGTGAAATACAGACAGAAGGTGTGTTTGTCTTTACATCTCTTGGAGCTGCAGCTTCAGAACAAAAGCAGCAATAATGTTTAGTTCCTTGTTTGTCTCAACTGTAGTTAGGTTTGAAGAAAGTTTAAGGAAAACAGGTGAACTAACGAGCCAACAACTTCACTCACTGTTGCAAAAACACAATGAAACAAACAAACCTTCCTTCTTTCTTCTTCTCTGATGGTTTCATGTCACCTGACTGGATAATTAGCGCCTCATCCAAGTGTTAGCACAGCAGTTATGGGCCAAAATGTACATTAATTTGCTTTCTAATGCAGATTTTTTTTGATATTTCTTTAAAATATTGGGTGGATTCGAATAGAAACCAGTGAAAACAAACAGACAACAAAAATTTATTTCCCAAAACTTGAGTGTGATTGTATTTAAAAACCTCCAAATCAGCCAGAGGCAGCAAACAAGTGTTTTTATGCACATTTTTAATTTTTTTATATTAAAAACCGTGAGAGGAAACTTCACAAATTTGAAAAACGCTACAAACGAAAATGGTCATGATAGAAGATGGAAATGCACATTAGTTTTCTTTTGCAGAAACTTGTGCTGCACTCTGATAGAAAACTGCTGTTGTGACTGTTCTGGATTCAAAGCGAGTGCAGGTGTCATTCTGAGTAGTTCCAAGTTGAGCGAACAGACCGCGGCGTCAACGTGCCGCTCGCTGCCGGACCGTTGGACGGAGGCGGCTAACCGTCGTGCTAACGCCTCTGTCTGCTCTCTGTCTTGCAGGGCTTAATTGTACTCTGTTGTTAGAGAGTGAGTGTTCTTCTCTGCTCAGATGAGTCTGTTGTTTGTCTTTCTCTGTCTGTGCCGTTTGCTCGATGCGCTGAGTGTCGTCGGCCTCCACTCTGTCGGTGTTGCAGTGAAAGTGTCTGTGCAGTGTGAGCTCCCGCTGAGACTTTGACAGTCGGGTTAAAGTTCCTCTCAAATACAGCGCCGCCCCGTATTTGAGTCTGCATCTCTGGTGAATGTCCGCTGTGTTCGTTTTTTTACTTGTTGACTCGGACATTCGGCTGTTTGACGTGGAAGCTTCGAGGTGAATGTTGCTGTGGTGCTTCAAGGGCTGGGTGCTGAACACACACATCACAGTAATGTTTGTGTTTAATGGTTGGTCTTTATAAATCCAGTAGCACCAGTGAGCCTTCAGAAATGTTCCAGCTCACCTTGTAAATACTTCAGTAACGTGTAAAGAAACAACCAAACAAAACAGTCAGCAACATCAGTAATTAGCTGATAGTAATTTGCAGAAATATGTTTTCACTTTGACATGAAAGAGTCTTTTTAAAGTAAATTCTGGTAAAAACAAAAAAGCCAAATTAAACTGACTGGTTCAATATTAAAAAGCAAACAAATGGGAAACTTCTAAAGCAGATGAATCATTTCAATAGATGCTGTTTGTAAACTTGATGTTACTGGAGGATTAATAAGGAGGCATTTCATATTTACTGTCATGTCCCAGCTTTAATATTTAAGTTAGGTCAATTTATAAAATAATGAAGGCTGTAGAGTCTTAACTTTAAAGTTCCATGAAGGTAAATGTACGTTCTTAACCTTAATATTTACACGAATAAATGCATGTAATAAATAATATTGTAGGTTTTTAACTCTAATACTTAAACTTGTCAGGTTCATTTATAACACAGATCTTATTCCTCCAGAGAAAAGCATTTTGCCTGGACGCATGTTTCTAAATGTGTTTTTATAAATAACAGTCAGATAAAAATAAAATATTAACCAAAATAAAGAGTGGACATAAAAAGATTAATATATTACAAAACCAGCAACAGGTGACGTCAGTTAATTGTGTAAATAGTCGTGTCCATTATTTGAACTAAAGTTAAAGTACGACTGATATTTTATTTTTTACACAATAAAACGTATATAAATGTACAATATTAGCACCAACGTGCTCGTTCTGTTGAGCTATAATACAAAAATAATCTGTCAATAAATGGTGAGTAACGTGAGCGTATTGTGTGATGATGTCGTCGTTTTAAGGTGGAATTTTGGGTCCATTTCTGGCTTCACTTGTTCATCACAGGACAGAGAGATGCAGTAAAAGCCTGGTTGGTCATAATAATACTATTTAATGCCATAATACTAATATATACTGGATTAATCAGATACGTGTCTGATTATTTAACCAAAGTCATTTAGTGGAACATTCTGGATGGATCACATTGATATTTAAGGTGACACTTGTTGAGAAACTGCTTCTCACAGAAAAACAAGCTGGTTGAGGTTTTATAAGCTTCATGTTTGTTCTCTCAGTAAGAACAAAGTGTCAGAAGTGACTGAATCACATCAACTCAACAAGGAACGTCGAGAAACGCAACTTGATCTAAAAGAGAAAGTGTCATGAAGAAAAACTCATCTGAGAGAAACAATTCTTCTTTTCTCCGTCACAGTTTTTTATCTAAAAGTTTCAGCGTGCCTCTAAATATTTTAAATTCATTCTGACAGAGACAATATTGTTTAACAGCGATGGAGTGCTTTAATTTAATTATATTACAAAGAAAGAAATAGTAGAAATAATTAACACTGAACTCCACAGACATGCACCGATATCACCTGATTCAGTAAATTAAATCTGATGGAATCTAAAAACAGAAATATGTTCACTATAAACATGAAGGTTTTAGTCTGTTAATACATTATTTTATTTAACTGTCATGTCTTTTTATTCTACGCTCACATCTAACAGAGTTTGACCAGTTAAACTACTGAACATTGTCGTGTTTCCTCGACGTTGTTGGACACAGACATGACTTACAGCTACCCAGCCCCGACTGCTCCTGTTACATGTGTGGAACCGGAGCAGAACCGCCCTCTGACCCGTCTTTGTGTTCTGTAGACGTGGGCTACCCTCTGAGCCGGCCGCTGCCCGAGGAGGAGAAGCCGTTCAGCGAGGAGCTGCTGCAGAGCGTCGTGAAGAGCATCCAGAGGAACGACGTGAGCCGGCCCATGGCCCAGCTGCTGCAGCTGCTCGGCCAGACGCTCGGAGTCAAGAGGCAAAGGTCAGCGGCTCCGACAGGATCGGGTCCAGGAGGAGGAGGTTTTAGATTGAAGAGTTAAACTGTCAACAGAACCCATGAACAGAGCAGCAGTGTGTTCAAATATGAACAGTGTGTCTCAAACAAGAGTAAACAAGTCGTGTTTTAGGGACTATTTTCAGCAGCGGATGAACACATTTGGGCCTGCAGTGAGTGTTTGTGTGACTACGTTGATGTAAAACACAGAGAACTTGTCTGACCTGGACTCTCCTCCTCAGGAGTTTGTACAGAGACATCCTGTTCCTCTCCCTGGTGGCTCTGGGCAAAGACAACATCGACATCGGTGAGTCATCGTTTAGGTTTTACATGATCACACGTCTAATGTTCTGGTTTGATTTTGTCCTGTCTCACATTATTTTGCACTCAGTCTTTTGGTTTGTAGTTTAATGTACATCCTTAACATTAGTCAAGGTTCAGGAACAACAACAACAAAGAACTATTTAACCAGAGAAGATAAATGATTATAGAACAGCAGTAATTTAGTGTGATTCTGTTCTAACTGTAAGAGGAAACGTGGATGTGGCCGCTTCAGGAGAAGCATCGTACAAAGTTCTGACCTTGTCATCGAAGGTCAGAACTTTGTTTATGAAGCTGGTAAAGGACGGTAATACTTCTGAGATTAGAGGGGAACATTTCTGACCAAAAAACGGACAAATTTGTAAGAAAATAAATTTGAAAAAGCGTTTCCTTTTTTTATGAACCAGTCGCGTCTCTTGACTCTGCCAGGTTGGATCATTGTGATGCATTCGTCAGCAGAATTTTAGGATTTTATTTATTTTATTTATTTAAAAGTTTGCTGGAACACAGTTACTATAAAAAAAAACAGTTAACTGAGGGAAAGACGAGCCGATCATGATGTTCTTCTGCCATCTGGACTTTTTACATCAACGTGATGATTCACATTTAGAATCTATTAAATCTGGAGCGTTTGTGCGTCACAGCTGTTGATCCGTCTGGATTCTCACCTACGATTAGTTACTTATTGTTATTAGCTGTGGTCATAAACATGTTCACTCCATTCTGTCTCCAAACTCATTCCAGGCAGAGGTTTTCCTCAGTTCAACCCCAGTTTAAAGGGTCCAGACAGTAAAGCCCTCCACTCACGCTCGGTGTCCTTCTTTCCTCCTTCTTCCGTCAGACGCCTTCGATCGGGAGTACAAGCTGGCGTACGACCGCCTGACGCCCAACCTGGTGAAGCTGACCCACAACTGTGACCGTCCTCCGAGCACCGGAGTCATGGAGTGCCGCAGGACATTCGGAGAGCCTTACCTGTGAAGACGCTCGCCGTCGCCTCCAGACCAGCTCAGGAATCTGTGAAGGTGGAGAAACGAAGGCACAGCTGACCTCCATCAGCGTCGTGTCGCCTCCACACGGCAGCAAACTGCTTCAGTGTCGACGGACGCTCACCTGGTTTCTCTGGAAGTCTGTGAACTGTAAATACAAGCGCAGCAGTAGAGGAGTTCCCTTTTCTTTTTTTTAAATGCAGCATTTCTATTGTATAGTCACACATTATATGAAGACTAATATTAGCAATATTTTAACTTGATCTCTATTTATACAAAGTCAGCTTTATTTATTGTGGCGTCTTCTTGTCCTCGTGCTGTTTTTCCGTCCTGTGGTCGTCTCAGAGTTTTCAAACCGCGACGACCTGAAAGCTCACCGAAATGTGGGAAATAAAACCCACGTTGTCATTCAGTGTCAGAAACAGGAAACATTCACACGCAGTCGCAGCACAGAACACGGATCAGTAGCTGTTTGGAGAACTGAAGCCAAATATTCACAGGTTTCAGCTCCCAAGTGTGAGGATTTAGTGATTTAATTTATTTTTACATTTTGGACTATTGAAAGGTGAAACAAAGCAATTGAAGACATATTTTGAAATTAAAGTCAAGAACAGTGTTTGTCTTTTAGAGAAGGAGCACCTCGGACATAAAAACATAAAAACATGAACCTCGTTTCATATCAGTTTACATTCTGTAAAATTAAGTGAGAAGAATTATCTGTTCACACGAGTGAACAATTTCTGTTGGGAGAAAAAAAAACCTCATCCCCGCTCTGCTCTCTGCAGTAGATCATCAACAACCACCTTGATTTTGTAGTAAATCCTCTTTTTTTGTAGTAAATCCTCTTTTTTTTTTATCAACACAACAGTACGTTTTGTGGGTTTGTTTACAACGTTTCATCATCACGACCTTCTTCACGCTGTGTGTCAGAGCAAACATCAGTGTTCCATGATGGAGGCTGTTTGTTTTACACTTTGTTTTAAATGTACAAAAAGCTGCTCAAGAGAAAATCCTGAACCAAATACCCTGCTGGCCCCCGTTCTGCTCTGTTCACGGCCGCCGTCGGCGCTGAAGCGACATCATCAGGTTGTTTAACTCGGCTTTAGGGGAGTTATGAAAGAAAAGGCCGGCTACTGGATCTGTCTTGTTTTTAATAATAGTTTTGCCGTCTTTTCTGTCAGTAAATGATGATATGGAACCAAAAGAGAGAGAGAGAAAAAGGATGAGAAGCATTAACAACAACAACAACAACCAGACAACAACAACAACAACTAGTCCAGTCATAGTATTGAAGCTGCTTTAACTGAAGGGAAAACTCGAAGCCAGAACTCGACTGGTTGGTAATAATCAAATAAATCACAGTTATTTATAAAACTGTAAACCCCATTTATTATTATTTATCCATCTAAATGCAGCCTCTGATTTAAACAGCGTATCTGAATGATTCCTTTAGATGCAGCCTCGTGTTCGGCCTGTTGCAGGACTGAAGGATTTAATTGATCAGTCACTGATACTAAACTCTGAGTCGGTTTCATCAGAGCTGCACCTTGAAGTTTCTCCTGTTTTCTGTCTTTTAAACGTCTGCAGACGAACGTTTAGAAGTTCAGTAAAAAGCCACAGATCAGCAGAGACGCCTCCGTTTTGTGAAAATGTTGTGAGCTGGTAACATCAGCCGGCTTCATGTCCAACATATCAAGAAAAACCCAAACAGGAGTTTTCCCTTCAGCACCCACCATAGATGAGCACATAGAGTGAACATGTGGGACTGAGCTGAAGCCACAGTGGACCGAACTTCAGTCAGTTTATCAGAACATAAAGCTGATGACATCTCTAATTAAACCAAACACTCTGAGACACCAGTCGTGTTTCCATCGACATTTAAATCGTCACAAAAAATCAAAGTAAATATGAATAAAACTTGTTTCCACTGTAAAAAACGGAAGAAGTTGAAACCAGCTGCCAATGAGACTTGAAGTACCAAAGATGGGCCGTCTGGGAGAATCGTTTAGGAATAGTTTCCAATCTGGGAATTACTTGTTTATATCTGCTAATACTGGACTCGTTTCATGTGTCTGAAGACGAAGACAGAGAAAGAAACAGCTGATTATTCACGAGTTCAAATAGTTCAATCAGAGTTTCCATCTCCCGTGAAGTTCATTCACTTTTATTTTTGTTTTTAGAAAAAGTCAAAAACGCCTTGAAGCAAATGTAGGTTTTTGCAAAATTTTAAAAGTTTTTCGCAACTGTTGCTGTCTGAGAACTTTTTGTGATGCGACACAAACATAACGTGCACATAGAAGTCGGTAAAGGAAACATGCTGATGGAAACGACACTGAGAACTATGAAGGAGGTCCGATACTGAACTAGAATGTTCTGAGGCCTGTCACACGAAAACGATTTGATTTTCTCAGAGAAATATGTGTAAAAAAATAAGTTGACACTGTTAAAGGAGACAAAAATCGGTTCTAAGAAAGTAAAAGTTTGATTAAAGCTGCAGTTTGAGGCTCTGATGGAAAATAAATACAAACTTCCAATAAGAAAAATACAGAAATATGCCAACGAAAGACAAAAGGGACTCAGAGATTCATCATTTCACCTGCAGCTGTCGACATACTGACGTTCATACTGATGTGTTCCCACGTTTTAAAATGCAGTGACGTGTTTAATTTGGGACATTCTGGATGAAACTCATTTTATTTTTCCATTAAACATATTAGTTTTTGGGTTGTTTACGTTTTAAAGACTGTTGGGGGGGAAACCAAACGGCCTGGACAGAACTGGATCCAGCAGGACGCAGCGTGTCTCACATGGACATTAATCAGTAAACGAGTGAGCGGTTGACGGAGGACCTCCGAGTCTGAACCATAGACTGTATAAAAGATGGACGTAGCAACCGGCCCT